AACATAGGCTGTTCTGCAAAATTGCTTCAAAATAGATCGTTGATAAAAACATAGCATGAGATTTTGTCATGTGTCATGCACTCCCCTATAATGTACAACTGCATTTTTGTTTATTTTTTATTTTTTTTTGCAGTTTTTGGCTGGGGCTGGTACGGCTGCATTTTTGTCCCAAATTTTCAGGAAAACACCCCACTTGAGAGAAAGCGGCTGGCTCTTGGCAGGGGAAGACACATCAGGGGAGGGTTAATGCTCCCCTGGTAAATGGGAAGATTGCAGTGCCCTCCCCTAATTGTCCACTCTATAAAGGCTGCCCCTTTCTTCTCTCCTGGGAGTCTTTCCCTCCCTGCCACGTTGGATGCAGTGGCTAAAATGGCTGTGTGTGGCCAGTGGGCAGGAGCTTCTGAAGCCACTAGGCCTGTGGGCAGCCTAGCGGGTCAGCCCCCTCCGTGTGACAGGGCCTTGAGCCTTGGCCCTTTTTCCCAGCATGGCCACATCCTATCCTCAACAGACCCACCAGCACCCTTTCCCCATAGGGCACTCATGCTCAATGGAGACCACTTCAGCTTGCTCCTTTGATCCAAGGTTCAAGGGCATGGCCTGGCGGCCTGTGGGATTTCCCCACTCTCCAGCCATATTACTCAAGTATAATCTACATCATTGTCTTTCTGTCAGAAATTTGGGCAAAATTGTATGCATTATACACAGCAAAATGCAGCATGGAGACTTATTGACAGTTTACGTACACACGCATACAAACATTTAAAAACATGGTAAACCATAAATGCAGTTAATTTAAAATATCATGCCATGTTTATTAGTCCAGAGGTGAATCCCAGAGGTGAATTAGTCCAGAAGATCAGCTGGAGAATTTCTTTTGTATTGGCTGAATTTTCTTTTTTCAGGTCCTAGTTCTTCATTGTTCACTGATGTGCTTTATTTTGCATCAGGATATGAGACTAAATACTTCCCTGTGTTGGAGTGATAAGCAATTTGCAAATGCACTTAAGTAGCTCCCCCTGTTATCTGTTGGATCTATGCGATTTTTTTTAAAAGGATCCTCCCAGTTTCTCCTTCTTCGGTAGCATCTTCTCATTCTTTCTTCTGGTATTTTCCTTTATATTTCTAAATTCTTATAATGTTATGTCTTGATTATTCCATTTGAGGCATTATCATTGACTTTCCATTACTGAAGATAAGAATTTATTTTTTACTATTCCCACCTCGACTACATATGTACATATTTCTGTTTCCTATCCTATATATTTATAGGAGTTATAAATGTTTTTTTTTTTTTTGAGATCAGCTTGAAAAATTAGCTGAGCATGGTTTTTGGGCCCTATCCTCAGAAGCTACTCGGGTGCCTGAGGCAGAAGGACCACTTGGCCTCTGGAGTTTTGGGTTGCTCTGAACTAGGTTGAGGCCATGGCACTTTCTCTGAATGAAGCCTACACATCCTTTGTCTCAGAATCTCATAAGAAAGAGTGAGTCTGTCTCAAAAAAAAAAATTTTTTTTTTGCTTCCTAATATCCCATATTCTCATTACAAATTTATTTCCAAACTCTGTTTAAATTGAAATCTATGTCATTTTATTAATTTCAACATCTTGAACATCTTTCTTTCAGGGTCTCCCCTCTTGATCTCTTTTATATTATAAGTTCATTTTTAGCCCCATTCTTTCTTATTGTAATGGGTTTTAATAACTGGAATACCCTTCAATCTTTCTTTTTCATAAAAAAATTATATTTGGGGCTGGATGCAGGGGCTCTTACTTGTAATCACAGTGCATTGGGAGGCCAAGGCAGAAGGATCACTTTAGCCCAGTAGTAGGAGGCTAGCCTGGGGAACATAGTGAGACCTCATCTCTACAACAATTTTAAAAATTAGCTGGGCATGGTGGCATGTGCTTGTGGTCTTAGATATTTGGAAGGCTGAGGTATTTGAATTGCTTCAGTCTCAGAGTTCAAGGTTGCAGTGAGCAATGCTACACTTTAGCTTGGGTGACAGAGCAAACAAGACGCTGTCTCTAAAATACAGTTAAACCTGTATAAATTGACCAGGTTAAGGAACTGTAACAAACTGATCAACATACAGAGGTGGTCAACATAAGGAACTTCAATTAAATACATGTGGTGCATGTCTGGTCTTTGAAAATTAGGTCAACTGAAGGAGGGAGGTAGTCAACCATGGAGGTTCTACTGTGAGTGTGTGTGTGTGTAAATGGTTCCATTGGTATCTCATTTTAAAGTTATAATTAATTCTCTGTCATAGGTCATTATAAAAAATAATGTAAAAAATCTTCCAGCAAAATTTCATACCACTCTTTAAATAAAGTAACAGTGTGAGGAAATCATGAATTTTCTTTTAAGATTTTTTTTTTTTTAGAAAATGACATTTTATTTCCAATTAAATGAAGATACTTCCTTTTCTACTTTAGATCCATTCAGTGTAAATGTTCCATTTAATAACTTCTCCCACCAGGTGGTAAATTCAGTGTATGTTTAGTTCATCTCAGTAACCCAGTTAGCCAGAACATGGTAGGCACCTGAGTCATATTTGCTGAGTAGACATCTATATAATAAATACATTTTTATTATTTTGTTTTAAAACATAAGAATAAAGGGTCTGGTATAGAAGGAAGCAGGCAGTAATAAATTTTAAATACCCTATTTTATCACGTTATCCCTTGAGGTAGCTCAGGTCAGAAAGAATGAAAACCAGATTGAAAAAGAAGGAACCGCCCATAAGAGGGTGATAAACAGCCGTAGCCACACACACTACGTATCCACAGCGAACAGTGCTGACACCTACATGTGGACAAATTTAGAACAAATGGCTTTCAGAACAAGGTGCAACATGAACTGTGTTTAACTTAATTTTATTTTAGAATTGAACTTAAAGTCGAGCATATAATTGTACATAAGTAATACCTATTGGGTTTTACTATGTGGTTGGATTAAATATTATTTGCTTGATCTAGTCCAGGCTTTCTCTAAATGAAGCCTACACATCCTTTGTCTCAGAATCACATAAGATCTTGTTGAATGTACACTTTTCTTGGCTCACCTGACCCCCTACAGAAAAAGAATCATGGTGAATGGGGTATGATTCTGCATATAAAAAGCCTCACATGCACCAGATGCCACTATAAAAGGGAAACTCTGATATATTGGTTTAATATTGTTTCACTGCTTTTTCCTTCAATAATTATTCAATAGGAATTTTACTAATTATCTTAATATGCAGGAGGTAAGAAAATTATCAGTTATTTTCTAAACTTCTCACTCTCTGATATAACCAATGACTAGAGGCATTCATTTGTGGTTTAAAAAGTAACAAGTACACACTACATAAATATGCACATATATTTTACTTTTGACATAGGATTTAAGTTTTTAACCCAACAATCTTAGGTAATGTTTTAGTTGAGATTTGATTTAATTATATGCTATCTGGACGTGTTATGAGAGAGATTTCAAATTGAACACTCCTCAAGGTGACACTATTAAGTAATACGGCACATATAAAAGCTCTTACCATAGCGCCTGCAAAGGTAACAGGTGGAAATTGATGCAAGCCCCCTTCTGTGGTACAGTGACACTCTGAGCTTTTGACATGAGGTATAGGTGCTTATAATTATCTCCATTTTAAGTATAAGAAAACGAGGCATAGCAAGATTATTTACAGAGTTGTCCAAAGACAGCTAACTGGTAAGTAGACAAGCGTAATTTTGAATCCAGAAAGTCTGTGTTTAGCAGGTTCTGTCTACTCTAGTGCCTTTCATCAAAAATTGCAGGAATATCATTGTAATAATGTGTAGGCATTTTTGCATATAAAAGCTGATGGGAAAGAATCTATCCAGATTAAGTAGAATGATTTTGAAGTATTTCTTTTTCTATTGTCTGTAAGATTTGGCATGATCTGTTTTTTTTAAGTTATCTTTTACTTTTATTTATACATATTAGTTGTCTATTTTTTTGAGACCTTGGGAAAAAAAAGTAAGAAGAAGTTAACTGATCAAAGTATTCTATAATAGACATACTCTTATCTGACAATGTGAATGTTACTTCTTTTGCATTATTACTATTATTATTGCTTAATATTTCATTGCAGCAATCGTCTGATTTCTTTTGTGAATGTATTTATCTTCATTAGTTCTTTATGAGGTTTTTGTTCTCAGCCTTTATGTTAAACATTGTTATTGTCATCAAATTTAGCCTTTTTAATTCTGTGAAGGCAAAAGTGGAAACCTAACATACACATGGACAAGTAAGAAAAACAAGTAAAAAAAATAAAATAAAAGCTGATAGAAAGGATGTATCTTTTGAAATATATCTTGATGTAAACTAATTTTTTGTGTCTTCCTATGCAATTTTACAGATTTTTTATAAGAATATCTTTTTTTTTTTTTTTTTTTTTTGGCCAGGGCTGGGTTTGAACCCACCACCTCTGGCATATGGGACCAGCGCCCTACTCCTTTGAGCTACAGGTGCCACTCCGATATAAGAGTATCTTTAAGAAACATAATATACTTAAAGTCAGGGGGCCTTGTGATATAACAGGAAGACCATCTTAGGGCCCAGACGGTCTGGCTTTAAATGCTGGCTGTATCATTTCTTGACTGTGTACAGACCACTAAAATTTTGAGTCTTGCTTTTCTTATATGAAAAATGGTAATAACAATTTTTACCCCTAATATCATCACACAGAATAGAAATAATCTTTGTAAGAGTGTCTCATCAAGCTCCTTTCATTAAATTAAACACAGCTATTACAATTTACAAATATCAAATACTGCCCTTAAAGGATTATGGGAATTTTTTTATTCCGCATGAGACATATATTATGTAGAAGGTGTAGTATTTATCAAAAAAACATCAAAACATCTGTTTTCCATTTAAATCATTAAGTGTTGGGAACATGTCATTTTTTAATTTAATCTCATATTGTCCTTTGGACAGAAGACTGTGGCATGCCTAACTGTAACTCTTTCTTCTTTTCAGCACACTTCCTTGATAACATGCTTTTGCGAAGTTCAGGAAAATTAAACGTGGGAACCAAGAAAGAGGATGGAGAGAGTACAGCCCCCACTCCCCGTCCCAAGATCTTACGTTGTAAATGCCACCACCATTGTCCAGAGGACTCAGTCAACAACATTTGCAGGTTGGTGATACAGATGATTTAAACCCAGCTTTAATAGAATATCACACTTTCTCCACGGTAGAACTGTAGGTCAGTGTTGCAGAGAACAAAACCTCACTCTGTTAACTCTTGGAGCCTGCCTGTCTTAAAAGAAATTACTAAATTGTGTTTTATCCCCAGATAGAGTTCTGAGCTGCTTCTGAGCTGCTTCTTCCTTCTTATAAATCAGACACAGTGCACATAAAAACACAGAGCTCAGTTCCCGGGTTCCTTATTATGGAGTAAAACCCAACTATTTTCATTCCAAAGCCCTAGCCCTCACACTTAGTTCAACAGCAGGGCTGTCACATGTGTGTGATGGGGTTGTTTGTTTGTTTGTTTTAACTGTTCATCATGCTGATGGTGTTAGTATTGTGGGTGAACACCTGGGCTGTTGGGAATGTTCTGAAAGAGACTCTGGGAAGCATTGTGGTGACAGAGCTCATGTGGCTCCCCCAGGAAGTAGGAAAGACACTGTCCAGCTACTAGAAAATAACCTCCTTAGCAGGCAGCACGTTTCTGTAGATGCTTGGTAACATTTGAAGCTGGACGACTTTGCCTTTTTCTTACTTACTCATCTTTATGCAGCCACACCCACTTTGCTGACCACTGTTTACACCTTAGAGTGAGGACAGTAGACAGAGAGTTAGAGTTAGAGAGTTAGAGCTTAATGGGGCCAGGGCGTGCCAAGGCAGAGGAGGGTAGGTTAAGCCAATGAGTGTGGCTCTCAGGAGTTAAAGGGCCAGAGAAGCAGAGGGAGCCTCCGGGGAGGTCATGAACTCAAATAAGGAGATGGGCTGTTGGGCTTGGAGTCAGAAAGGATAACTGGGCAACCATCTGGGGCTTCATTAGCCAGAAGGTGTACAAAACAGAGTCAGATAGTTTCCTTTCTTTCTGAGAACTTTTTTTTTTTATTTTAATTTTCCTATGAAGCAGAATCCAATATAAGCTTACCAGTATATTCTAAGAACCTAATATATTTAGCACAAGAAATACATATTGACCAAATGACACAGGAAGCATAGCTGGGTGTATTCATAAATACAGAGGGTGCCCCCAAATACATACACAATTAGGGGATATTATCTATGTCTTTTTTTTTTGAAGTTGAATTGAAGATATTGTTATTGGTCACGTGTACCTAGACATGCTGTGTGTATCCATTTTACCTGTGATGTATGCACTTTGGGAGGGATAATTTATTTTGCTTCTGACAAAGTCACTGACAATGTGTATACATTTTTTTGTACCCTCAGTATATATCTCATCTAATCATCAAGATAACACAGCATTGTAAGGAATGCTTATTCTCTTTCAGACATATGCAATTTGGTATCCAGAGAGTTTAGTAACTTGACTTTTGTAACATAGAACAAAGTTGGGGTCACAGAGTTTTGTGCTGATGTAAAATGATCCCCAAGCTCAGACATTTTTTCCTGGGAAACATCTCCTTTACAGTAAAAAACAACAAAAAACATTATGAAAGCTAAAAAGTTTTTCTCTGAAGAAAGAAAAATTCACAAAGAAAAAGCAAAGTAGAGGATTATTTTGCATTTTATCTACATCTGTAGTATTTAGAATACATCTGTGCATTTCATTTGGGTTCTTGAGCTGGTGATCGCATCTTGAGGATTTTACAAAACCATCCCAGTTTCAAATATTTTGTCCTGTTTCCTGCTTGAAGTCATCAAAGTGACCTGGGTTGGTTTGGAAGAAAATGTTCAGTCAAGGTAGCTGCAGTAGGAGAATCTTCACATATTCAGAGGAGACTGGTGTCCCTGGAGTGCAGAAGCAGGAGGGGGTGTGGTTGAGGCTGAACCTGGCGGCAGGGAAGTTACCGTGGCCTGGTGGGCTATATTAAGAGTAAGAGCCTTGGAAGGCCAATAAAGGGGGTGGGTGCTTCACCCCCAGTGGCAGTGGGGATTGGCATGATCTGATTTGTTTCCTTGAAAAATTTTCTTTGCTGTAGAATATTAAATGTATTAGAAGAGATAAAGATGAATTCAAGAAGAAGAGTTAGGTCAGAGAAATTGAATGGTAGGGTCAGTAAGAACAGTTCATGTGTGAGAAAATGGTCTTTAAGTAGGATGGGGCTGGTGCAGGAGTAAGTCAATCATGTATTTGAGAAATATTTAGAAGGTGAAGTTGTTGTGGTGGTGGCTTGGATATAGGTGGGGGGGACCAGAGGAGCTTTACAGGTTTCTGGATGTGGATTTAGGTGCATAAGGTAGCCTTTGAACAAAAGAGGACAAAGGAACCAAGTTCCGGTATGGCAGTGCTAAGGTGGAGGTGTTTGATTCTTGCAAGTGGAGATATCAAAGAGTAGGCAGTAGGATGTGGATCTGAAGCTCAGGGAAGAGGTTGGGTGAAAGTACAGGGTGGGAAGATCATCAGTCTGTTTGCTGTGAAACAGACAACCTCAGATTTACAATGGCTCATAACAAAAGACTTACGTACATACATATAGGCATATGTATATGTTTACACACACACATATATGTATTATATATATATTTTTTCCATGCTGGGCGTTTCTGGGATTGGGCGGGCTTGACTTCAGCCTGCTGCTTGAGTTCAGGACTGCTGACCAGCAGCTCCCCAGGGCATAATCTTTCTCATGTGAGTGTGAGGGAGCACCCTCTTTAAGAGGTTCTGGTTCTGGTTCTGCTTCTGCCATGTCCTCTGACACTGTATTTACAAAATCAAGTGGCGTAGTCAGGCTCACAGTCAAAGGGAAGCCAGGTCTGTGCTAGAGGGTGAAGAATTGGAATCAATAATGGAGCAATCCAGTTTAACCAGAGTGTGTCTGAGCCTTGAGCATTTCGTGCTGGAGTAAAGGGGGATGTCCCCAAGAGACTAAGAGTTGGCAGTCAAGCGGTGAGTATGGTGTCACTGAAGCCAAGTTTGCAGAGGGAGGTAGTGAGGTCCACTGTTTTGGATGCTGTAACTGGTCATTGGGATAAGAGCTGAAACATGAAATATCAGATTTCTCGATACTGATGAATATAGTTTAGAGAAATTTAATGTAGTAGAGATGGAAGCTAGATTCGAATGGGTTATGAGTTATGTGGTTGCCAACCTTTAATTTGATTTATGATAACAAAAAAGAAGAAAGCAAAAAATTACAAATACAAAACCAGCAACAATAACAATAGTCAACATGAGTGGGTTAATGTGTAGAAGTCAACAGAAAATGAGTGTTTATCGAATGTTTTATAAAAACTAACATGTTTACCTACACCTGTCTTCAATCATTACAAAATTCCTTGTAAGTATGTAGAATTATCTGTATTTTCCAGGGGAGAAAGCTGAACTTCCAAAAGGTTAAGTAATTTTCAATAGATAAGATGATGGAAAAATTGTGGCCAAGACTCCAAAGTCCTGAATTCTTGGCCAGCAGCCAGTCCTGACACTGGTTCTCAAAGGAGTGAAAGTTCGCTTTTGAGTAAAATGCACTTGTATTTTGCTAACAAGGTATTGATTCCAGCTGAGTCTTTCTGTGAGCTGAGATCAATCATGTGCGAATCACAGAGGCTACTTCTGTTCCTTTGTCTTAAAACCTAGACTAAATCCGTGCCTTTCTGCCTCCATTCCTTTATGCCCACACTATAGTCTCTGCCCTTCAAATCCATGCTTTTTCAAGATGCCTCTGATAAAAGATGGTTTTTCACCTCACAATAAGTTATACACTGATACTTTCCTAAGATGCAATAAAAGTGAATTTTTAGAAAGCTGAATTAAAAAATACTTGCAGAATGTATGCCCCATTCCTTCTATTGCCAGTCATTTAAGTTTAACAGATGTAAATTCATCCTCTCAAATTGCTATGTGAGTTTCCATTTCTGTATGAACCTCTTTACAGATTAGGAATAAGCAGTTTGCTGTCTATAGGGAAACACACCTTGAATAACACGGGCTACATCTTACCCACTAGGTAAAACAGTTCTAAGGACAAAGGTGAGTTTTCATATGAATACCTCAGATAAGAGCTGGTCTACATTTTCTGGCTTGGGGCCTTATACTACACAGATGTTAGCTAAACTGAGGGTCATAACTAGGTTTCATGTTCATTATCACGTCCACCTCCCTGGAGAGAATATCACAAAAGGAGGCCAAGAATCAAGAGTGTATCATACTTAAAAGAGATCTGAAATCCCACATAATTCAGAGACCACGTGCAGCATTTTAGAGGCTTATCATCAGTACCATCAATTACTCTACCAGCCAAGGCCAAGGCCAAAGTCATTCATGGCTTGGTCTCTGCCAGCTGTAGATATATCTGCTTCCAAGATCCATGCCATTTCCATTGCTCATGGCACGCAAGTTGGAGGATGTAGCGTAAACATAACATAACTGAATATTGTAATAGGCTTTGTTAATATCTGTACTCAAAGGGTAAAGCCTTCGTCTTGTCTTTCAAGATGTCTGCTGTCTAAATATCATTCTTGGTGTCAATTTGCATTATGATTTATCCTCTCCATCTCCAGATTCTGTCCCCAGGGCTGCAGACCATCATCGCATGCCTTGATGGCGGCAATCTCTCTCGTATCTCTGCTAACCCGGTTTTCACCGTGCCCACGTTCTCTCTCATTTTCCTGTCCCAGCAAGGGTAATCTCACCCTTGTTTGTACATTGTATGTTTATCTCTGTATAATCTATCCTGTCTTAAATATCCCTCCTGCCTTACTTGACATGGTCTGTGGTGGTCATTTTTGTTCTATTTCACCACCTCTCTCATGTCCCTCCACTTCCTCATGCATGTTATTTATTTCTAAAAGGTATTTTTTACTTTATTTGGAGATAATTTTTAGTATTTCCTCATTTATCTTACTGAGTTTTCATCAAAAATCCTCCTGCCTGGGCAGTTTCCAGGGTTTAGGGTGTAATAAATTGTGTGTTTGCACAAAAGATGTGCAAATGATACCGAGTTGCTTAAATGAGGAATTAGAGGCATCTCCAGCTTTGTATCTTGAAGGGTCACAGGGGACAGAAGGGACAGCTTAGAGGCTGTGAGTCTATTTATAAAGTTTGTATTAATGCAGACCTTTGAAACCTCCTGCTAAGTGCAGTGGTGTGAGTTTTCAGATAGGTACTCCCAACCCAGGTCTTGGAGTATCATGGTGTGAGCTGTTCTGGTTTATTTATACTTCTTACTTTGCATGCCAAACGTTATTATAAGCCATTCAGTTTTTTTCCCACCATTGCCCAGGTCAGTTAAACATGAGGATTTATGATTCTGCCCACCCAGAAGATGTTGAATTCAAACCACCATTACACCTAAGAGAATAGTGGATCCTCATGAGAATGTCTAATTTAGTTGTAAGAGGCTGTGATTTCAAATTCACTTATGGATCCTTTTATAAGGAATAACTCAATTGTTTTTCAAGGGTCAAAGTAAGAGTTAAGTAATTGGTGTACATATTTATTAATGGTAATTAATAGTAGAGATAATATGGAAATTTTGGATCCTTCTTTCTCATGAGTTTATGGACAAAGGAAATATTACCAGATGTTTTCATGATAATTTCAGTTTTGTAGGATAAAGTTTCAAGATTCGTTTAATAGATTGTAAGCTCTAATGATCATTGACTTTCTCCTTACTTGCAATGAAATAAACGATATGCATCATTCATTTCCTTTTCCCTAAGACACACACTCACCCCCAACACACTCACTCTCTCTCCCTTCCCCGTCCCTCCCTCCCTCTCACTTTGCCTATTTGGTCTCCAGCACTGACGGATACTGTTTCACAATGATAGAAGAAGATGACTCTGGGATGCCTATAGTCACTTCTGGATGCCTAGGACTAGAAGGCTCAGATTTTCAGTGTCGGGTAAGAAAGTTCACTTGACTCTACTTTGTAGCCCTTCATTGGTGAGGTTCCCAAGAAGTTTCAAGCAAGTTAAAACAGTTGTTCTTGTTGGCCATCCTATTTTTATTAGCCTTATGCCACATGATGACGTTTTTGTTTTTGAAGGGCCATATACAAGGTGACAGTGGATTGTGGTCCTGTAAGTTTGTAACACTATAACTTTTGTATGTTTGGCTATGTTTAAACACACAAGTACTTACCATTGTGCTATGGTTGCCTCCAGTAATGCGGTACAGGGTTGTAACCAGGAGCCATATGCTGTACATGTAGCCCACGAGTGTAGTAGGCTGTGCCATCTAGATCTGTGCTAGGACACCAAGACAAAATCACCCAGTGACACATTCCTCAGAACATTTCCTCATCTTTAAGCATGCATGACTATGGCTGGGAAAATAATTGGCAGTTGTCATCGGGCCAATTCTCCCTTCATTTTCAAATCAAATATTCTTTGCATTTTATTCTTGCTTAGTGTCTCATTAGATCATCTTCCCCCAAATCCAGTTTAGCTAATTGCCTTTCTCAGTTTACACAGTGTACATGGACATGGATTATGATAACTATAGTAGTAATTGTGAAATGCAAAAAAATGCAGTAAGATAATAGGTGGTGATTTAAAGGACATTACCTGCTAGAAAATATTATTTTCAAGATGTTTGAATGACATTATTAGAATTTTAAGTAAGTTCTCATAATAGTGATAAGGACTTAAGTTGTAGATGAGGTGCCCCTGAAAGTTAGAGGAAACCCATGAACTCCTATTTGCTTTCAATTCCAGGACACTCCCATTCCACATCAGAGAAGATCGATTGAGTGCTGCACGGAAAGGAACGAGTGTAATAAAGACCTGCACCCCACGCTGCCTCCACTGAAAAACAGAGGTGAGGCAGAGGGCGCTGGGCTGGAAGAGTGTAGGCATCATGAAAGCAACGGCTCTTAAATGGGATTGTTATCCGGTTCCAAATGGATAACAGGGGACTGTTAGCAGCCACAGAGGACTGAGGCAAGGTGACGTCATGAAGCTGCATTGGAAGATGTGTCCAAGTAGTTCTTGGGAAAATATAATCGTTGTATGTGGCTTCACTGTTGCGTTTTTCATTACTTTAACTTCTTCCCATTTCCATTCAGAAATGTGTAGTGTGTTGCAGGAGGATAGAGAGATGGCACTTTCTGCTTCCCCTTGAAACTTAGTAGTATTTTCACCTAAAAGGTATCTGTTGCTACATTTATTCTAATAATAAAGACCTTGTAAAGAACTAAATCAAAGATTATTTGCTATATGGCATTTCCTTTTATTTATGCTAGTATAAATCATGTATTAATATATTGATAAAATGGAAAAGGTGTCTAAAAGTTTTAATTTCAAAACATACACATTTAAGAGTTGCTCATTTAAAAATGTAAATATTCAGCCAGATGTGGTGGTTCATGCCTGGAATCCTAGCATTCTGGGAGGCCGAGGCAGGTGGATCTCCTAAGCTTAGGAGTTGGAGACCAGCCTGAGCAAGAGAAAGACCCTGTCTCTGAAATTTAACCAGGTGCTGTAGTTGAGGCTAAGGCAGGAGGATTGCTTGAGCCCAAGAGTTTGAGGTTGTTGTGAGCTTTGAGGCCATGGCATTCTACCAAGAGTGACAAAGTAACACTCTGTCTCAAAAAAGAAAAAAAAAAAAAAAGGAAAGGAAAGGAAAAAGAAATATTGCATCCCAAGAGAGTTTGTTAGTTCTCCTCACTCTCTCCACAGAATAATTTGTAATTATCAGAATTTAAATCCTAAGTCCTACCTAAGTGATTTTGAATGATCTCTTACGATTAATTTTATTTTTTTAGAAGATCTTTCCAACATAATATAATGAAAATTCATGACTTTGATAACATTTTATAGCATTTTTCTTACACTAATCTGGAATGCTATGAAATATTGATTCATAATAACTTGTATCAAAAATGTCACAAAAGTGCTACTTTTTCTAGTTTGGTTTTTTTTTTTTTTTGGTATACTTATTTATTTATTGGCCAGGCAACATGCTAAATGTTACGGATATAGCAATGGAAGAAGAAAATTCTTCTTCCCAAGAAGTATAAAGTAGGATATAAGAGAGAACATGTAAATAACTAAAATTATACTTGGTAATATTTCAGTTAGTAGAGTTAGATTATAGAGTATATTGAGGACATAGTAGGGTGAGGGGCTGACTATCTCTAGGAGGGCAGGATAGCTTTATATAAGGTCAAAGTAGCTTTATAGACGCAATACTTGAGCAAGACTTTTAAAGGATGAACAGGAGTTTCCTAATGGATTAGGCAGAATAGGCTAAGTGGATAAAAATTTTAAAATTAAAATGACTGACTTCAGCTTAGCCATTGGCTGAGTATTACACAAACTAATCCATTTTAGCCTCACAAGAACCCTGTGAGGTACTGAGGATTGTTATTTCCATTTTAAATATGATGAAAACGCAGGACAGAATGGCTTATTAGCTTCATTATGTACAGGCTGTGAGTAGCAGTGCTCTAAACAGAAGCAGTAGTAAGTACACAAGTCTGGTTTGTAATATTTGAGAGGCATTTGCAAAATACAGGAGTATGAAACAATGTCTTGTTGGAGAAAGATTCATACTTAAGAGAGATAGAGGCAGATTCTAGTTTGCACTGGGAAGGTGAGGGAGTACCATCTGGGGAGGCTGAGCATATGGGGACTTATAAGATTAGTGGACTAAGCCTCTATGTGACAGAGTAAAATGGCTTCGAAGAGAAGGGGAGAAACGATGGGAAGAAAGTCCTTGATCCAGAGCACTGTGGGGCTGGGGATACAGGAGTGGCTGGTGGAGTCTGCTGAGCATTGTACACGGTGATTGGCTTCCATGGAGTGTGGTGGCGTTGGGGTTCACTGCTTTGAACCCTGAGGATTCCAGGTAGTATCTAGACATGGTCTCTGAAGATTCCACCTCAGCGTTTGGCCCGGTCATGTTGGGATCTGGTAAAAGGCATGGAGACCGTGGTCTGAGAGTACTGCCTTGCTTACGTAGCTAGCTATACTACAGAGCTGCTGCTTTTTGTTAAACCCCTCTCATACACAGATGTACAGTATTTTTATTCAAAGTACACTACATATGTTTGCTGATTATCAGCGATTACTTCCAAGGTTCTTTCTAAGTATATGATTTTTTTCTTCTATGTCTTACTGGAATTGTGAACCATCTCCCAGCCTTTTAAAAGGAATTACAGCATTGTAAGCAGCTACAAGGCCCTTAATTATTAGAGAGGATTCAGTAGTGACAGAACACAGTTCTTTTGTGATGCCACTGCCGACTCTGACTCGCCTCTTAGAGCTAAGCAGAGTTCCCTGGGGAGGTCTTGGTTGCACTTCCCAGAGCAGTCAGAGTGACAGCCCAGGTAGAAATCTGCTGCCCTGGAGAGAGCCACAGGCCTGCTCTTTTCCTGATCGGTATCTGGAAGTGTTCACTTGCTGAGACTCTGGCAGTGACTTGAATGTTTACATTGTTAATGCTCTGAGTACAGGTAATGGCAGATTAAAACATGACCAGCGTGACCAGCAGAAACAAAAGGGTTATTGATAAGGATCACCTATGCAGGAGGGAAGACAAGGAGGCCTAGATGGGCCTGCAGGGGATAGGGTTATTGCGGCTAAGGAGAGCAGATGGGAAGGTAATGCTAGCCTTAAATAACGACCTTGATGGCAAGGAGGGAGGCCCTCAGATCCTTTGGTCTCATCGCTCTCATAAACCAGAAATATAATAAGTAATAGTGTTCTAGCAGCTCCAGGTATATTCTGTATCTTGCATTCAAATGGAAAGCAAAAAGGACTGAGGCTGAGAGCTTTAGTAAAATTACCTTGCTGGAATAGAAAAGTATTCTGTGTTCATATACTGGTAATATGCTGTGATTAGATGGTTAGTTTTAGTTGAGTATCTATGATTTGGATTTCTGCAAAATCAGGTTTTTGTTATTGATAAAAATGTAACTACATTTTAGGCTAAGTTTCCAGCCGCGGTCTTTATACGTCTATGTGCTGTGGTACTTGTGTGCCTGATAGGCATAAAAATACTGCGAATTGCGCTTTCTCTGGCTGAGGTATTATGACAGCTTAGATTTAGTGTTAACTCTGCATAGTGGAATAGAGGGAAAAATTTACCGTTAGACAATTTGTTATGTAAAATTTTAGTCTGCTTAATTTTAAGAGCTTATAAATTTGGAAGGTACTAAGCAACGTGTTTCAGACAGTGAATGTGCTAATTACACACGCACATGGTTTGTTTCTGGTTAAGTCCGAATGGCTTTCTGGACACGTACTGTAGTCGTCCAAGTTGCTCGGCTCCTTTTTCCTGGACCATTGGCAACATTCTGAATTTATTAATATAAAACTGCTGGGTTTTAGTGGTGCTCATTTAGTCTTATCAGATGTAGACTGTTTTCATTAATATTTTACAAGTAGTATGTATACATCATAAATAGTAACCATCATGAAGTTTGGACAAATTGGAAATTTGTATTTGTAGTTTATAATATTAAATATGTCTTATATTAATATATAATCTAGAGTTTTTCTGAAATATTTCAAGGTAATTATTTTTATGTGTTCATGTCAACATCCTGATTTTAGAAATTGCGTTACTATTTGATAAGACAAAAATCCTCATTCTTAGGAAGCGCACTCTGACGTATATCTATAAATGGAGAAGGGCATTATTTTTGCAACTTTAAATGATCCAAAGATAATACAGATACACAAATAATTAAAAATAAATCTGAATGAAAATATATACATATATAAATATTGAATAGATAGTGAGTGAAAGAAAGAAAGAGAGAGAACCACTGAGAAAGCAAGAGAATCATAAAACAGATATGACAAAATGATAACAGTGAGATATTTGGGTAAAAGATGTATTAGAGTTTTGTTTGTTTCTGACAGAGTCTTACTATGTCGCCCTCAGTAGAGTACTATGGCGTCACAGCTCACAGCAACCTCAAACTCTTGGGCTTAAGCAATTCTCTTGCCTTAGCCTCCCAAGTAGCTGGGACTACAGGCACCTGCCACAACACCCAGCTATTTTGGGGTTGCAGTTCTCATTGTTGTTGACCAGCCAGGGCTGGGTTCCAACCTGCCAGCATCAGTGTATGTGGCCAGCACCCATGAGCTACAGGGCGCTGAGCCTAGAGTTCTTTTTTCTTATAGTTTTTCTCTAAGGCTGAGACTATTTCAAAATAATCAGAATGTACATTGACATTAATGGTAAAATAGAAACTGTTAAAATCATTTTAAAGGATATTTGACAATATATATGAAAAGATTTAAGCTATATGTCCTTTGCTCTAGTAATTCTACTTCTAGAAATTTTTATGAAGAACATAATCAACTCCCTGGGCAGAGGTGTACACGTAAGAGTATTCCTTATGGAAATTTATACATTACAGCAAAGAAGCCGCATAGCAGAATCTTTGAACTCTTCTAAATACACAATAACACAAGAATGGCTTTCTAATTAGGATGTCTTTGCATATAATACAATCTAGTTTTTAAAAATTGGGTCAACACAATGCATATATAATTTCAAATAGCTAGAAGAAGGATACTGAGTATTCCCAACCCAAAGAAATGATCAATGTTTGAGATGATGGATGTACTAATTTCCCCTATCCAATCAGTATGCCTTGTGTGTATCAAAACATCACTGTGGGCTCAGCATCAGTTACATAGTAGTTAGTGTGCCAGCCACATACACTGAGGCTGGCGGGTTTGAACCCAGCGTGGGCCAGCTAAACAACAATGACAACTGCAACAAAAAATAGCTGGGCATTGTGGCAGATGCCTGTAGTCTCAGCTACTAGGAAGGCTGAGGCAAGGGAATCATGTAAGCCCACGAGTTTGAGGTTGCTGTGAGCTGTGATGCTACAGCACCTACTGAAGGCAACATAGTGAGACTCTGTTTCAAAACAAAAAACAAAAAACCATCACCATGTAACCTATGAATTGGTAAAATTATGTATCAATTAAAAAGATAAAATTAAGTAATTTTTTAAAAAGTTAAAAATCACCTTGCAAAGAATGGTTTTGGAAAAGGTTTGCATTTCATTTGTTGAAAACAATCTAGTTGTAAAGCAGTATGTATTATAATGCCTTTTGTGAAATATCTTGCTTAGGAGCTTGCTTTACTCATCGAGGTTTTACTGCAGTGGCCTATTCTAAACTGTTAGCAGTAGTGTTTCCTGATTAATGAGGAGGTAGGGATTTTGTTTATCTTACTTTCTTTAATTGGTCCTTGTTAGTTTTTCTTCATGAAACATGAAGTACTTGTATACTACTTTTGGATGAAGAAAGTTACTTTGGGTGGGATAAGGTCTCCAGCGAACACGTTTAGGTGGCCATATATTAATAGTTAGAGGTATACAGTGTAGTTGGAAAACCTCTTCTCCATAGTAACCATAGTCTTAATTATAATACTACCTTTTAAAATTAAATAATAGTAATTACTTTCTCAAAGTTTCATGGTACACTAAGAACAATGCTAAATTCTGTTACTGTATAAGTGTGCCTGGTTTTAAGTCCGTTTTCTCAAAATATATCCCAGAGATCATCTGTATAAAAATCACCAGAAATGATTATTTAAACATAAACTATTTTGAAAAAAAATCTCTGGGGTTAAAGTCAGTAAGTATGCATTTGTATAAAGCTAAGTCATTCTTACTCATATAAAGTTTGCGAAATCATGCTCTAAGCAAATCTAGTTTCTCAAGAACTAAAGTTAAAACAAAAGGAATAATGTTCAATAATTTGTTCTATCAAAAACACATTTGGCTACAAAATATACATTCTTTGAAAATATTTCATTATAAAAAATTAAGGACACCTTTAAGTGATGCACATCTATATATTCCATATCTGGCACCATTTGAGTAGTCCTTTTGTATCCATCAAAAAATGACCTTGACTCAGAGCCTGTAGCTTAGCGACTAGTGTGCCAACCATATATATCAGAGCTGGCGGGTTCGAACCCAGCTCTGGCCTGCCAAAGAACAATGACAACTACAACCAAAAAAATAGCCGGGCATTGTGGCAGGCACCTGTAATCCCAGCTACTTGGGAGGCTGAGGCTAGAGAATTGCTTGAGCCCAGGAATTTGAGGTTGCTGTGAGCTGTGATGCCACAGTACTCTACTGAGGGTCACAAAGTGAGACTCTGTCTCAAAAAAAAAAAAAAGACTTTGTATTTTATATACAATGAATTATAGATTCACTTATTCAAATTCACGACCACATGAAAAGAGCCTGTGAACCCATCAACTGGATGGGAATAAAGCTGAGGTACCAGCTACTATTTTAGGTGCACATGTCCATTGACATTGGTTCATGTCTGCAGCCATACCATCCTGAACGCACCTGATCTCGTCTGACATTGGTTCATGTTCTTTCTGTGGTTTTATCCTGTGTAAGCCTGGACCTTTAGAGGAAATGTGTGCTTCTGAAATAAGTGCCTAGAGGAGGGGTGACTCACTCTGGTCACCCTTGTTTAATTTAGAGTGTGTATATATATATATATATATTTTTTTTTTTTTTTTTTTCTGATGAATTGGCTTGTTAAATGGGTATTTCATATCTTGTGTGGATGGTTAGCAAGCACTTCAGGGGAGGAAAGGCATCCTCATTGTTAAGTGAAAATATTCTTCACCTTATAGCTGTCTTCCTTTTTAATTTCAGATTTCGTTGATGGACCTATACACCACAAGGCTTTACTTATATCTGTGACTGTCTGTAGTTTGCTCTTGGTCCTCATCATTGTATTCTGTTACTTCAGGTAAGTTTCCAGCATGTAGATACAGAGTTTTGCACTTATGGTATCTTCCTTATATTAATATTTACCACTTTTGTCTGTTGATGCTTTTTACTGCAGGTTTCTTTGACCTAATTAGATCTTATATTTAACTGAAAATATCTGTTACTGCTGATAAATATTTGTCCCAGCAAAGTTATAAATAGATACCTATCTCATTACTGCTTCGGACATCATAACTACCCAGATAAATATTTCATCCCTAGGGAAACTAGGATAGTTAGGGAATTCAGTGACTCGCTGCTACTTAGGTTTGATTCTGAGCAGAAAAAATGACATGTTGACGTTAGAGTGGCCCAAGTAATTCCATATTTCTGGAGCTAAAATTTCCTCTTAGTATTAAAATATTTTAATTATAATTTATAGATTAATTATTAAAGCAAGTTAAGCTTTTATTTAAAGTATGATAACTTTAAGTATTTAAAGTTAAATAAGAACTTATTTTCTAGTTTGAGAAATATCAAGGACCTCATTTGCCTTTTGAGCAATTACAAGTTCATTTGTGAAACTTTGTAAATGAATAATAGGCCCATTGATTCAAATAAATTCATTTCTAATTGAAGACGTAGTTGGTACTAACTGAGTTTGTAAAACTTAATTTTATTCATCTGTTTTTGCTTTATACATTGCCTTACATGAGAGAGTTAGCTATAATGTTGTTAGAAACCAAAAAAGTTAGGGAGTGAGTCCTGGAAGTGTTTAGAAACACTGAGGAAGTGTGGTAGGCTTGGATATATGCAGTCAGAAGCAATGGAAAAGAAAAATTGTAGATGATTGAGACTAATCATGTAGTTTATTTTAAAAAATTGGTTAGCAAAATAATAATGATTTGCATTTAGGAAACCCTAAGAAAGGGCAACAGATACAAAGCAGTTAATCTTGTGTTGTGTTTACCTGCTAAAATCAGTCCTGTTATGATGACTGCTTCGGCTGCAATGTTTTGCTCCTATCATTGCATTTCTTAAATTTTCTTCGTCTGTCCATCTTTAGGTATAAAAGACAAGAAACCAGACCTCGGTACAGCATTGGGTTAGAACAGGATGAAACGTACATTCCTCCGGGAGAATCCCTGAGAGACTTAATTGAGCAGTCTCAAAGCTCTGGAAGTGGATCAGGCCTCCCTCTGCTGGTATGAGAAGAACATACCTTGAATTTAAGGGAAATATGTTCTGAAAGGAAATGCCAATAAATACAGGGTTTCATTTTACTGAAATAGATAGGGTGGTGGACAAGGAGAAAGCTCTGTGCAGCCAGTGGGACGTCAGATCTCAGACGCAGGGCCTCCCGATAACATTTTGACATATTGAGGGTAAGGCGATTGTTTTTTAATGTCCGTATATGGTTACAATCCAGACCTTCAGATATTCTGATAAAGAGCAGATTAGAAAACACTGAACACGGGACCGTCTTCCCTCTGTTTCCATAAGGATAGCATTACTGCACTCTGGCCTGGCTTTTGAAAGCAAAAGTATTACAACCAAATGGGATCTGAGTGCCTCCCCAAAGAGAGAAGGCTGTGTTTCAGCTGTGGGGCTTATGTTTCAGGGTGAAGTCCTTGCTTTTCCATTCAGGAGAGGGTTAGTTTTCTGATGGTCAGCACTGTCAACTTTGAAAAGAATGTAGAGCAGCGGTTCTCAACCTGTGGGTCGCGACCCCTCTGGGGATCTCCTGCATATCAGATATTTACATTACAATTCATAACAGTAGCAAAATTACAGTTAAGAAATAGCAACGAAAATAATTTTATGGTTGGGGGTCACCACAACATGAGGAACTGTATTAAAGGTTTGCTGCATTAGGAAGGTTGTGAAGCGCTGATTCACAGGGTGGCCAGAAAGTTTGTGTTCAGTTTAAATGGTTGTAACCTTGTATATGAAATCTAAGGCACTTGCTTTTATGAGAGAAGTGGGTCTCTGATGGACCTTGTGGAAAGATTGTGATTCAGTATGGAAACAATTATTTAATTAGAAATGTTTTTATATTTTTGAGAAATGTGAAAATTGAGAAATCTTTTTATTAATAAACTCCTAAGATTGATTTTCTTAATCTTTATGGTCTGATTCTGACTTTGGCTATGTTGTTTACTTGAAAGCTTTGAAGCTTCCTAAGTGAGGAATCTTTTCCGAAAAGTTGTTCCCATGTATATTATTAGTTTAGCCTTATTAAGCAAAGTATTTTATCCATATGTTTGTGTGTAGAGGGGTGTGTGTGTATGTGTGTGTGGCTAATTCAGGGATACAGTACAGAGTACAGAGCGTTTTTTACAGCTATGTGTTTTCAAGTGTCTTTAAATCCATTTTGACTTGATTTTAGTGCATGGGGAGAGTTAAGGGTCAACTAGTTTTATTCTGCTGCATGTGGACGTCCAGGTTCCCAGCACTATTTATTGAAGAGGATGTCCTTTCCTCAGTGTATGTTCTTGGCACTGTTGTCAAAGATCAGTTCACTGTAGATGTGTGGATTGTGTTTCTAGGTTCTCTGTTCTATTACGTTGGTCTGCTTGTCTGTTTTGATGCCAGTAATGGGCTGTTTTGGTTACTATAGCTCTGTAGCACAATTTGAAGTTAAGTAATGTGATTGATTCCTCTAGTTTTGTTTTTTATACTCAAGATGGCTTTGGCTGTTCTGAAACTTTTGTAGTTTTGTATAAATTTTAGGATTTTTCTTCTGTTTCTCTGAAGAATGACATTGGTATTTTGAATGAGGATTGTGCTGAATCTGTAGCTTGCTTTGGGGAGTGCAGACAATTTAACAATACTGATTTCAATACATGCACCTAGAATGTCTCCCCATTTTGTTGCATCCTCTTCCATGTCTTTAAACAATATTTTATAGTTTTCTTCATAGAAGTCTTTCAATTCTTTGGTTAAGTTTATTGCTAGGTACTTTCTTTTCTTTGTAGCTATTGTAAATGGCATTACTTGTGTGGTTTCTTTTTCAGATTGCTTACTGTTGGCATATAAAAATGCTACTGATTTTTAGTCTATAGCCATAGTACCCTGAACACACACAATTTCATCTCAGAGCTATGCAGGGTCGGGCCTGGTTAGTACTTGGATGAGAGAAATGCTACTGATATTTGTATGTTTATTTTGTATCCTGTGACTTTACTGAATTATCAGTTCTAATGGTTTTTTTGTGGAGTCTTTAGATTTCTCTAGATAGAAGGTTATATTGTCTGAAACAAGGATAATTCCACTTCCTCCTTTCCAGTTTGGATGTCTTTTATTTCTTTCTCTTGTCTGACTGCTCTGGCTGGAATTTCCAGTACTCTGTTGAATATTAGTGGTGAAAGTAGGCATCCTTGCTTTGTTCTAAATCTTAGAGAAGAGGCTCTCAGTGTTTTCCATTCACTGTGATTCTAGCTATGAGTATGTCATATACATACAGCTTATATCATGTTGGGGTAAGTCACTGCTATCCCCACGTTTTTAAGAGTTTATATCATGAAGAGATGTTAAATTTCATCAAATGATTTTCAGCATTAATGGAGATGATCATATGGTTTGGGGCCTTTGTTCTGTTGATGTCACGTATCACATTGATTTGTGTGTATCAAAACATTCTTGCAGTCCTTGGAGGAATCCCGTTGATCATGATACTTGTTTTGGCAGAATGTTACGGAGGTACCTATGTTTTGCTTACATGAACTGCTTTTGTACAGCTTGAGTCAAAGTTGTAAGTGTGCCCCTCACCCACAGGTGTGCCTTAGGTGTGGAGTTAGCCCTTTCCCCCTCCCACCTGCCTCCGTCCCCTTGAGCTTTACTACCAAATGTGCACATAGGTGTTGATCCACTAGTTCCAGTTTAATAGTGAGCACATGTGGAGTTTGCTTTTCCATTCTTGTGAAACTTCACTTAGAAGAATGGCCTCCAGTTCCATCCAGGTTGTTACGAAAGGCATTTTGTCACCATTTTTTATAGTCGAGTAGCGCTCCATGGTATACATACACTACATTTGATTAATGCACTCGTGTTGCAGGGCACTTGGATTGGTTCCACATCTTTGCGATTGTGAATTGTGCTGCAATAAACAGCATAATCATCATGAATAATCCTTTTAATATGTTGTTGAATTCAGTTTGCTAGGAGTATTTTGTTGAGGATTTTTGCATCTATGTTTATCAGAGATATTGGCTTATAGTTTTCTTTTTTATTGTTATCTTTGTCTGGTTTTGGTATCAGGGTGGTCATAGAATGAGTTTGGGGTATTCAGTCTGCCTTGATTTTTTGGAATAGTTTAGGTAGAACTGGTGTTCATTCTTTGAATGCTTGGTAGAATTCAGCAGTGCAGCCACGGGGACCTGGGTTTTTCTCTGATGACAGATGTTTAATTACTGCTTCCATCTCTTTACTTGTTATTGGTTTATTCAGGTTTTGGTTTTCTTCCCGATTCAATCTTGGTATGTTGTGTGTGTCCGGGAATTTGCCCATTTCCATCGCCTTTCCCATTTGTTGGCATCTAGGTGCTCACGGCATTCTCTCATGAGCCTTTGGATTTCTGCAGTATCCAAAGTTTGCTGCTTTTTCATCTCTGATTTTATTTATTTGGGTCTTCTCTCTTTTTTTAGTCTGGCTAGTGGTGTGTCAATTCCTTTATCTTTTTGGACAATTAACTTTTATTTTTAAACTTTTGTTTATTTTTGGTTTCAGTTTAATTTATCGATGTTCTGATATTATCTGGTATTTATTATTTTCTTATACTAATTTTGTTTTTTGGGTTTGTGTTTGTTTGTTTTTTGGTTCTTTGGGATACATCATTAGGTTGTTTACTTGAAGCTTTTTTACTTTTTTAAAAAGTGGACACGTACAATACTGCTATAAACTTGCTGTATCCCGTAGGTTTTGTCTTTCCATTTTCATTTGTTTCCAGGCATTTATAAGTTTTCTTCTTCATCTCTTCATTGGCCTCTTCATTCTGGGGCATATTGTTGATATGCATATGTCTGTGTGTTTGGATATTTTCCAGTGTTCCTCTTGTTATTGATTTCTGATTGTATTCCATTGTCGTCTGAGAAAATAATTAGTATGATTTCAGTTTTTCAGGACAGCTTTTTCGAATTCTTTGTCTGAAAGGTCACATAGTTCCATCATCCCACAATGGGTCACTGGTAACTTTGTTTGATGAGGTCACGTATTCCTAATGTTCATGACACTCATAGACGTTCACTGATGTCTGAGCATTGAAGATTTAGATACTTAAATCTGTGCAGTCTGGACTTGTTGGAACCGTGCTTCTTGAGAAGGCTTTCCCGATATTCAACGGGAACTGAGCAGTGTGATCTTTGGTCACTGCAGCTGCCTCAGCAGCTTCCAGGTGCCGAAGCTCAGGAATGCTGTGACTCTTAAGACTCCTGGTAGTACTGCCTTGGTGGTCTTGAGTAAGATACCGGAGAATTTCCTGGGTTACCAGGCTCAGTCTCTCACAATCTTTTCTCAAACTCTGTGCTGGGCTGCTGGAGCAGGGGGAGGATATGGGCAGTCCTTTATGGCCATTGGCACCAGGTCACACCTGAAGCCAGCCTAGTCTCACCCAAAGCCTATGGTGGCTGCGGCTTGGCTACCTCTGGTGTTTATTCAAAGCCCTGGGGCCCTCAAGTCAGCAGATGGTGAATCCTGGTGTGATGGGGTCTTTCCTTCAGGGAAGCATATTTCCTTCTGGCCCAGGGTGGATCCAGAAATGCCTTCCAGGAACTAAGGCTTAGAGTCAGGCTTCAGTGGTTTGCTTGGGACTTTGATTTTCACTGTGGCAGAACTGGTACCCAATTTACAAAGCAAAGTCATCTGAATTCCTTTCTTTTCCTTTTCCCAAGTGGAATAAGACTCTCCCTGAGCTGTATTCCCTGGAGTTGAGGGGCACAGGCACTGCCTTGGTTGCCACTGCTAGTTTTTCACTGGGTCATGTGCACCCCAAGTCCACGGGCTCTGAGCCAACGCAGCCACAGTAATTGCCCAAGGACTGTAGACTTTTTTGGCTGACTGCCTTACAAATTTAGTCCAGTTCCCAGGCTGCTTTTGCTCAGTGGTGTGGCTCGGTAAAACTCAGGTTTTAGGGTGGCCAAGCTGGTCTAAATGTTCCCTCTGTGGGCGCTGACAGAATTCTGCCCTGTGCTGTGTTCCCCTGTGCCAAGGAGGCCCTGGGTTTCCATGCAGAGTTGCATCATCACTTCACTCTCCCTCGCCTGGGCACACAGATTTTCTCCCTGTGTGGTGCACTGGCACAGTGCTGCCAGGAGCCTGGGAGAGTGGTGCCGTAGGCAGTGCAAGATTGTCTTTTCTGCCCTCTTCAGCGCCTCTTTCTTTGATATATTATTAAAACCAGACCGTATGATCACTCACCTGATTTTTGGTTCCTTCTGCAGGTGCTTGCCTGGATAGTTGTTGAAACTGGTGTTTATGAGGAGGGACGATCGCTAGAGGGTTCTGTTTGGCCATCTTGCTTCCTAGTAACACTTTCTATCTTTGAGATCATTGTTCCTATCCTGTCCAGCATTGCTGATTCTGTCAGTACTTATATTGAATTATAAGATATATATCGTGATTAGAAAAGAAGTGGGCACACAGCTATTTATGTTAGGAAATATTCCACAGACTTACATGAAGAATGCTTTGTAACATCTATACAGAAATGTTGTAATATTGCTTTAATAAATGTGGGCAGTTTCAAGCGAGTAATTCAATCACCTGAGTGTTTGGCTCGCAGCTGCTTGGTGCCTGTGGTGTCGCTGTCACCTCGTCTAGAAGCGGAAGTGCAGGGTGCAACCGGCCACCTCACAGCATGTCTGACTTGTAAGGAAGGAGGGCTGGGCTTTCTCATCCTCACCGGGCTTCAGGGGCTTTGTGGCAGATCCGCAACAAAGAAAAAAGACTCTTCTCCCCAAATGCTTTTAATCTGACCTTAGTACCCGTGATGCTTCCAGCAACGAATAGCATCGCCTCTGTAATGGATAAAATCATCCATTGTGAAAAACAGACCCCATCCTGGTTCATAGAGTCTGTGGTAGCAGAAAAGTGCCCCCCAAATGCCCATGTCCCAGTCCTTTAGATCTCTTACATTACCTGGCGAAGGGGCATGAAGGTTGTTGATCGGCTGACTGGGAGATTAGGAGATGGTTGTGGATTATCTGGATTGGTCAGATGTAATTGCAGCGTTCTTAGAAGTACAAAGAGAAACACTTTTAAGTTTTTATTTGATGTAACACAGACCTCTACAAAAAGTGCCTTCTAATTTTTTGATCGGATCTCATGAGAATTCTCTTCTTTGTATTTGTGTTCTAAATTGTGCAATTTTAGCAGATACTTCGCTCTTTCATCCTTAGGACTATTGATGTTAGAATTTAGTGGCAGTATTAAAATAGATTAAACGCAGATAGGATGAAGATTATGTGATAGGAGGTTTAACCTCCTTGCCAGTTAACTCATATTTCCCTTCTCTTTGTCTCGACTGCACTCTTTGTGTCTTCAGAGTGCTTTTATAGCTTGGTAAAAAAAGCTTCATCTCCAATTTGCTACTCTCTCTCGTTTACTCATTAACTGTTCTCTTTAGTCTGCTGTTTTGCCTTTCTATTTTGCATTTTTGATTTTGACAATTAACTGTTCCACTTAAAAAGTGTATTTTTCAATAATTTTTTCTTGCTTGCTTTTTATTCCACCTCCTATTTCTTTACACATTTCATATATAGTTACTTGACATTCTATATCTGCAAATTCCAATATGTAATCTGAATTCGTCAAATCTTTTGGGTGGTTTCTGTTGACTCTCATTTATGTTGGCTGCTTCTCTTTGTTATACAAATTTTTTTTTGCTGTGAGATTTTCTCTTATACTCCCTCTGTTCTCCCTTCTTTTCTTTGTTCCCTTTTCTCCTCCAACTAATCCCCTGCTTCTTAGAGATTTCCTTTATTTCTTTGATTTTTTTTTAATCAAGTTATATGGTGGCAAATCACATGACCTTTCTTTGATTTTTTTTTTTTTTGATCAAGTTATATTACTGGCCTGGCGTAGGCATTGAATGAAAAGTATAGGGTCAATGATTTCCTCAAGAAAAGGTTTGCATTTGAGAGCCAATATGTGCTACCAACAACCTAGGGCAATTTTAGGACCATTTGATGGTCCCAGCTGAATGCTGTAGCCCTAGTTTCAATTCCTGTAATTTTAAGGGGTCAAAGACTCTAGATCCCAATGTGGGATTTTTCTTTGCTTGGACTACAACCTGGCTATTTTGGATATGCTTAATGCTTATTGTTCCTTGCTTTGGTCTCAAATCCTTCCTTCTCTCCCTCCCTCCCTTCCTGCTTGGAGATTTCCTTTGTTTCCTTGTGTGCCTATCGATACATTTCATTGCTCTGATATATTTTATATATGATCAGGTGTATGATGGTAAGAGTCCCTTCAGATTATCTAGTATCCCATTATAGCAGCGGAATGAAAGTAGTCTATCAATTTCTGTGAACGCATTCATTTCTTTTTCGCTATGGAAATTATAATTGGTAAAATGAAATATTTAGTAATTTAGAAGCAATATTTCAAAAATTCAGATCTTAAGTATGTCTTTAAATATGACCTTAAATATGTCTAAAAGAGCACAGCATAAATTAATAAATAAATATAAATAACTTGTCCATATAAAGAAAAGTACGGGCTAAATATATTTTAAATGCAGTAATTGTTTCTTTCTCTGTAGGAAAAAAGTTAAACAAATCTGTAGTGCTGGGAATACACTAACAGTGTGTTTTGGGATTTAACAGGTCCAAAGGACTATAGCTAAGCAGATTCAGATGGTGAAACAGATTGGAAAAGGTCGCTATGGGGAAGTTTGGATGGGAAAGTGGCGTGGCGAAAAGGTAGCTGTGAAAGTCTTCTTCACCACAGAGGAAGCCAGCTGGTTCAGAGAGACAGAAATATACCAGACAGTGCTGATGAGGCATGAAAACATTTTGGGTGAGTAAAAGTCTGTATTGCTACGTTCAGGGTTTCTTAGCTTTCCTCCGTCTCTCTGTTAACATCTGCATGCTAACTCATCTGTCTAGACCCTTTATGAAGTGTACTGACGTTTTCTTCCTGGCCTGGGCCCAAGAACGTCATAAGCTTCTAGTGGGAGACCTCACAGGAGGAATGACTAAGGCACTTCTGCAAATGAATGGTGGGCTGGAAATGGAATACTCGCAAATATTTTTTTCTCAAGGAACAGGAAATGCAAATGTAATATTGGAATTTTTTTAGGGTTTCTTAGGGATTTGAAAGAGTATATTTTAGTGTAGATGTTGGGAATAGTTTGTAGGAATTTTATCTGTAGGCTTTATTTATATCAAGAGTTTATCTTGACAATTGATTTTTTTTTTTTAATATTTTCAATTTAGGAATGATCTGTCTCAGTCGTTCAAGTAGAAAGAGAGTAAGAGTGTGGGGTGTAGGCCTTAAGCCCCTGTTTTGTAAACAGTGTCTTGTATGTAGCTGATGGCCATAAAGTAACATAGACATCAACTACTGGTCAGAACGAGAGCAGGCCTTCAGCTGCACACTCTTAATCTTTCTCTATCCTTACGATTTTGCTTGTCTCTAATTGGCACCAGTAATTTAATACCATCAGAACCACAGTCAGAAAATGGGGTAATATGCTCAACAGAAGACACCTGTGGGAAAGAATGATTTTTGAGAATATGAATTACTCCTGATATTATTCAGAAAACACCACCAACCCTTTTTGTCTTGTTTCCTTTCAGGGTTCATTGCTGCAGATATCAAAGGGACAGGGTCCTGGACCCAGTTGTACCTAATCACAGACTATCATGAAAATGGTTCCCTTTATGATTATCTGAAATCCACCACCCTGGACACTAAATCAATGCTGAAGTTAGCCTACTCTTCGGTCAGTGGCTTGTGTCACTTACATACCGAAATCTTTAGTACTCAAGGCAAACCAGCAATTGCCCACCGAGACCTGAAAAGTAAAAATATCCTCGTGAAGAAAAATGGAACTTGCTGTATAGCTGACCTGGGTCTGGCTGTTAAATTTATTAGGTTAGTATTAAAGTGAATGTGTATACTTTTTATGATTCTTTCTATCACTTTTTATAGATTATACATCTTGTAGCTCAGTGCTTCCAGAAAATTTAGAAGAAGAAAAATTTTATCAATTTAGATTTTTCTTTGGAGAGGGGAAAAAAAAATACCACACATTTCATTAGCAACGTAGCACGTTTGAGTCAGTCTTGTAGTTTCTGTCCTCATCCCTCATCGAGTGACCTAGCTAAGGGACTCTTCACGTAACGTTTGCAGCTGTTGTGAAGCTAAGTGGAACGGAGGTAGCTAATGCTGGGCCAGAATTCCTGGCCAGAATTCTGCATGCCATTTGTAAGTAGGAAAAAGTTTCAGGAACAAACTAAAGATTCGGTTGGAGTAAAGGCAATGATTTTATGTGGAGTGGCAAGGATAACTTGCGTAAATGTTTTACAGGAATGTTAGAAACTAATAACCAAAACACAGCTATTATTCAGCACTGTGTCATCCTGCAGCTTAAACAGTGAATATAACACGTAGATGCACACACCAGAACATGCTGTAAACAGTGGTTGGTTTTCAGGCCCCTGGGGCTCCTTGGGGTTACATAAGTAGCTTCTGCACCTAAGGGAAAGGACACACAAATAGAGTTGGGACTCTATTTTGCTCACTTTCACTTTAATCAGAAGGGCTCCTTTTATCTCCAAGATAATTCAGTCACATGGTTCCTCTGTTTGGAAAACAAAACAAAATGAGTTTGCAAACTGCTGGTGTAGAGGGAGCATCATATAACTACCTTTAAGAACCCAGTTTCAGCATAGCCTTTATTCAATTGTTAGACACTGCAGTGGAATTTTGCTAAAGAAAACTCAGTAGAATGTGGAGAAGGAAGCAACAGAAAAGCCATGGAGATGATTAAAATTTTGGAAAATAAAACTCACAGGAAAGTACTAATGGGTTGGTACTTTCATCCAGAAGTAAAAGTGTGATTTAGTAATGGACCCCAAATATATAAAGGTCTTCACCATTTAGAGGAAGGCAAATTGAAGTTCCTGATTTTCCAAAACAAAGCAAGAGGAAATTATTTGAACTGCAGATTAAAGTTAGAAATACGAACTTCTTGCTAGTAGAGATTATTAAATCCTCTCTCTCTTCTGAATTCTTTGTCCTGAACTACAGCCTTTTCCAAGTCTCTGCTATCAAAAAAATTTCCACAATGCTCCTCACATTACCAGCCCTTCTCTTCTTCCCTCCCCAGTTAAATTTCTCCAGAGTTCCAAAGGCTAATTTGTTTTCACCACCCAGCAATTAGTAGTTCTCTTGTGATGTGGCTTCTGCTCCATCTTCTCCTGACGTTGCTTTACTGAGACCCCATTGATTTTGGTCACCAGAGGCCCTTCTCTATTGCCATCACGCTATCTGCAGTACCCAAACCTCCTTCTTCCTGTTTTCTTGATGTACCTTTGGAATCCAGGTTCCTCCTTCTCTCTTGGTTCTGCTCTGTTTTTACTCCGTATGTATTTTCCCACTGATCGATTTCCTATTATGTCCATTTTAAAGCATGAGGTGTCTAACATCTCTTTATTACCCAATTTTTGGTTCAGTGGAATGAATTCTGTCTTCCGATATTCTCACTTGTACTGGGCCAGTTCGAGCTCCCTGTATCATTTTTCTAGATTCTTAGGTAAAATATTTTTCAGCTATTTTTGTTTTTGTCTTACTCTTCCTAATCTTTTCTACATTCTGCCGCCAGGTTTATTTTCATAAAGCATAATTTTGGACATCATAATAATTTCCTGTTTCTTGTGGCTTCGAGTTAAAATGTAGTTGGAGTCCTTGGTGCAGTGGACCTTATCTTTTCTGAGTCCAGACTGCTCTTTAGCCCTCATCCCACCACATTTCTAGCCTTCTGCTAGATTTATTCTGAACACCTCCTATTTCTTACACTGCCAACTCTTTTTAACATGCTTTTGCCATTACCTGAATACTCAAATCCCTTTTGTATCTAGATAACTATTACTGATCTTCACAGTTTCTTCCTTTGAGAAACCTTGTATTATTCCCTGTTCTATGTTCACCGGTGGGACTCTGTACCTATTATCATGACATTTCTCACACTGCGAGCATTGACCACTTACCTATCACTCCCAGTAGAGAGTAAGACCCTTGGAAGTGGATCAGAAGTGGTGTACAAATTTGTATTCCTAGTGCCTGTCTCTGGTGCCCATTCCTTAGGTGTTGCTTAACATTTTTATGTACGGATAAATGATTCCATATGGACTGAATCCTTCCTAGCTCCAGAAATCCTACACATTCTGGACTAAAGCTTCCTTTCTAGTTTTATATTCTGCAAACTCCCCAGTTTGTGTGCTTTCCTTTGTAAAACTGAGCTGCATGAGTGTTGTCCTTATGTACCCTGTGTTTACTGATGCTTTGCTTCTGATCGCATGTCCTGGTTTGTCCATGTATCTTTATCTCATCTCATAGTTGCCTCTAAGTCACTTCATTCTTACCCCAGATAAGAATAAGGGCACCGTCTTCTATAATTTTATTGTAATTTCCAGGTCCTCATCTGCCTAGTTTTGTAATTAATTTGGTATGTGCCTAATCTTTCTGCTAGTCATTGGGCACCTTGTGAGCAGGATCCAGGCCAACTTAATTAATATATTTCCCACTTCTCATGACAATAGTGAGGGATCCATATTAGGTATTCTAACATTGTTTTGAATCAATAAACATAGGCAACAGCAAAGTAATCGACAGCTGATCTTCTTTATAGACCTTAAAACAAACGAGAAAGTGAGTATCTGTTATACAAGGCCTGACAATTAAGTTCACAAACTCATCCTGGAAAAAGTGCTGTGTACCTCATTGCTGAATATCACTACAGTCACCTTTTAGGAAGCTATGCACTGACAGCAGCATCTAGTCCACCCTTCAAAGCAGTTTGGAACTCTTTTTCTGGAAGGGCCATCACATCAAAGTTGTTGTCATATTACCCTTGATATCCTGAAGGTCATCCAAATTCTTTCTTTCAATATTTCCTTTATCTTTGGATAAAGAAAAAAGTAATTGGAGACTATATCAGATGAGCAGGGAGAGTGTTCCAATGCAGTTACTTGTTTTGTGGTTAAAAACACCCTCATAGACAGTGCTCTGTGAGCTGGTGCATTGTCATGATACAAGAGCTATGAGTTTTTGGCCTAGATTTTCAGTTAAGATTTTCCTGTTTCTTTATGAAAGTTTACCTAGTCTGCTATGCCTCTTACAGTCAGCCAATGATTTTGATGCACAATTTGATGATTTTTTTTGCAATATTTTCAGCAGTTCTGCACATTACTGACCTCTCTTCATCAGTGACACCTTCTCTCTGCTCAGAATATGTTTAACCCATTTGTATAATACTTTTTCCTTCATGGCATTATCCCTATAAACTTGGACTAACATGTCCCTGATTTAATTTTCCCTCTTGCCAAGTGTAATAAGAAATTTAATCATTCTTTATTGCTCTAAGTTCCAACATTCTTGTGCTGGCACACAAAAACATGCAACACCACTCCCCAAGACACCACCACATGTTGATGTGAACACAGTCATGAGATGCTGATAAACCAAGGTTGTGAACTCTCACTGAATTGTCTGTACAGTACTGCCAACATAAGTGTGTGGTGGCAAGTTTGCAAACTCTTTCAGATTTCATATTTATGAAACTTAGTTTTGCTTCATGTAAGAGGAATGAACTGAATGACTTCTCAAATTTCATGCAAAAACCTGATTCTAGGAAGTAGAAGGGACTACTTTAAGAGATAATTCAAAGATTTATTTGCCATAGATTGACTTGTACATCAAGAGTGGAAAGAGCTGAAGCTGCTGGTGTACATGCTGGCTGTCCAGACTCCTATGGCTAAGGGCATTTACCTTTCTGGGCTGTAGTGTCCTCTATAATTAATTGGAGGTTGCATTTGATAATCTCAAAATTCCTTCTTGTATTTCTATTTTCTATGTTTCAGAGTTTGCTCTTCTCGACTCTGAGCCTGACTTGTCAACCTTGCTTTACATGTTTCTTTGGTTTCCGTTCTTTTCCTGACTTTTATATTTTACATGTGCATGTGTATGCACATGCATAGATACAGTGTTTTATTACAGGCAGAGTTATAGCTAACCTAGTGCTGAATTCTGAGACTTGATATGTGAACTTCTTGTGAGAACTTAATCTGTACCCTGGTCTCTATGTAGTGGTAAGTGGTCTCTTAGGCTTTTAGGTCATTTCTGGGAGGATCCGAGGGAAGTTGAGAGTCACAGAGAGGCAGCAGACAATGCCTGAGAGATTTCCTGCTAATATAATTTTTAAAAATCCTATGTTGGTTTCTTCATGTACTCTCCTGAAAATGATGTAAGTGCTGATACATTTCCTGCCCAGCAGAGATTTACTCTAGGTGATGTGCAGGCAGGCCTCACCATTACCCCAGCCCTCTCCTGTGAAATGCCTCGAAGGAACTTAACAAAACCTTTCACTTTTCACTGTGAAGAATCAAGCAACCCCTCTGATACTTCAGTGTCAGAATAAAATATTTTCTTACAGGAAAAAGAAATCCTGGCTTAGGCTCTCAGGTATTAAATTTTAAATAAAAACCCTACAGTGAAAACAAGGCTATACTGCACACACATCCCTTGGCTGATGATTGTTAAATTGTGCAAGTGTAAAGGAGGTAGGTGACCTAGCCCAGAGGGTGCCAAGTTTCCTGAGTCTTTCTGATGTCAGTATTTTTGGCCTTGCTTTTGGTTTGTATACTTACTGCTTTGTTTGTTTGTTTGTTTTTAAAGTGATGTGGCCAAATGACTCATGAAAGTCACAGAGCTAAGCAGAGCTCCTTAGTGGCAGATTCGTACTCTAGTTGGAGTTTCTGCAGCCCTGTCTACCTTCTGTTTAATTAAAGAGTTTTCAGTCCCAAAGATCTGTTTCTAAGAACCTCTGAGATTTCTCAGGATGTAATCATAGCAGCACCGGATCCTGATGAAAA